CATGTTATTACAAACGCGCTTGTCCTTTTGCAATAATATTCTCACTCGAAGACTCCCAAGTCAATGATACTGAGAGCAACATAAGTCTTAACCTCTCAACAGCCAAATCCTTTGCTGCAAAACTTGCTTCAAATCTTAACTCAAGTCCAAATCCTTTGCAAAGAATCGAAACATGGCTTTGGTTGGAGAGGCTATTCTCTCTGCCTCCGTGCAGGTGCTGTTTGACAAGATTGGTTCCAGCGAGTTCGTGGACTTGTTCCGGAGAAAGAAACTGGACGAGTCGCTTGTGAAGAAACTGGAGATAACGTTGTTGAGCCTTAATGCGGTGCTTAATGACGCGGAGGAGAAGCAATTCCTGAACAGCTACGTGAAAGAGTGGCTTGATAAGCTTCAAGATGCTGTCTTTGATGCGGATGACCTTCTCGATGAGATCAATGCTGAAGTTTTGCGATGCAAGGTGGAAGCTGAATTTCAAACCGTCACAAATAAGGTGTGGAACTTCCTCCCTACTTTTCTTGATCATAATTATCAAGGCATGAATGGTAGGATACATAAGTTGCTTGAAAGGTTAGAGCACCTTGCAAAGCAAAAGGATTTCCTTGGGCTGAGAGAAGGTGTTGTTGGGGGGAAGACTTCACAAAGAACTCCAACAACTTCCTTGGTGGATGAATCTTGTGTGTACGGTAGGGATGGAGATAAAGAAAAGTTGATGAACCTCTTGTTATCTGATGAAGCAAGCAACAAGGATGTATCTGTCATCACCATAGTGGGAATGGGCGGGGTTGGCAAGACAACCCTCGCACAGCTCCTTTATAATGATGGCAAAGTGAAAGAGCATTTTAATCTTAGAACTTGGGCTTATGTTTCGGAAGATTTCGATGTTACTAGGGTAACTAAAACCCTACTTGAGTCAGTCAGTTCAAAAGCTTACGATAATAAAGACCTGAGTTTTCTTCAAGTTGAGCTCGGACAACAAATAAAGGGCAAGAAATTTTTATTTGTGTTGGATGACCGTTGGAATGAGAACTATGGTGATTTGAGGGTCTTGCAACGTCCTTTTGCATCTGGGGCAAGTGGAAGTTGGGTCATTGTGACAACACGTAACGAAAGTGTTGCAGCTCTCATGCGCACCGTTCCGATTCACTTTTTGGAACAGTTGTCCGATGAGGATTGCTGGTTGTTACTTTCAAAACATGCCTTTGAAAATGGAAACTCGAGTGCACGTCTGGACCTGGAAGAAGTTGGTAAGAAAATTGCTTCTAAGTGCAATGGTTTACCTTTAGCTGCAGAAACCCTCGGAGGCCTCTTGCGTTTCAACACAAATTATGAGGAATGGAATAGCATATTAAATAGCAATATTTGGGAGCTGCATCCTGAAAAATGTAATACAATTCCTGCTCTAAGATTGAGTTACCATTATCTCCCAACTCATTTAAAACGATGTTTTGCTTATTGCTCAATTTTTCCGAAGGGCTATGAATTTCAAAAGGAAGATATAGTTCTACTGTGGCTGGCAGAAAGTTTAATTCCACAAGCTGAGAGTGAGAAAAGAATGGAAGAGCTCATGAAGAAATACTTTGATGACTTATTGTCACGATCATTTTTTCAAAGATCAAGAAATGAGAATTTCACAATGCATGATCTCATCAATGACTTAGCTATGTCTGTGTCAAGGGAATCCTGTTTGAGATGGGAAGGGGGCGAATCACATGAAGTTTTGAAAAGAGTTCGGCATTTGTCGTATGCTAGAGGGCAATTTGATTGTGCTGCGAAATTTGAGCCATTATACGAGGTTAAGCATTTGCGAACCTTCCTGCCTCTAAGACGAAAACATTTTTTGCATTATGTAAGTAAAAGGGTTTTACATGAGTTAGTGCCATCTCTATTATGCTTACGGGTGCTAAAGTTGTCAGAATATGGTAATATTGGTGAGTTACCCAATTCTATTGGTAACCTCATTCATTTGCGCTACTTGGATCTCTCTGACACCGCAATCAAGAGGTTGCCTTCCACAGTTTGCACTCTCTACAGTCTACACACATTACTATTATCATATTGTTCCTCTCTAATTGAATTGCCTACAGACATGAGGAAATTGATTAACTTGAGGCATCTTGATTGTAGTGGAACTCAAATTAAAGAGATGCCGGTGCAAATGGGTAGACTAAAAAGTTTGAGAACATTGACTACTTTTGTTGTGGGGAAATCTACTGGGTCGACTATTGGCGAACTGGGGGAGTTGTCCAATCTTGGAGGAAAACTTTCTATTTTGAAGCTTAATAATGTAGTTGATGGTAGGGATGCCTTGCAAGCTAATTTGAAGAACAAGAAAGATCTGAAGGAGTTAGAGTTGGCATGGGACTCCGAAGATGCCAATCATTCCGAAAAGGTGAGAGATGTACTTGACAAGCTCCAACCTTGCATGAATTTGGAGAAATTAACCGTCAAACTTTATGGCGGGACCAGCTTCCCAAACTGGTTGGGAGACTCTGCCTTCAATAAAATGAAAGTTATGCACCTCGAAGGCTGTCATTATTGTTTCGAGTTGCCACCGCTTGGGCAGCTACCTGCTCTTAAGGAACTCTTCATATGTAAGATGAAATTTCTTAGGACGTTAGGTCCTGAGTTCTGTGGTAAGCCATTTCAGCCATTTCAATCACTGGAGAAGCTGGAGTTTGAGGAGATGGCAGAGTGGGAGGAATGGGTACCAAGTGGGACTGGAGGTCCAGACTTTCCTCGTCTCCAAGAGCTAATTCTAGAACAATGTCCGAAGCTGAGAGGAAGCTTGCCTTGTGATCTGCCTTGCTTGAATGAGCTTAGCGTGAAAGGGTGTGGAGTTTTACATGATCAAAGGGCCACTGCTGCTACTAGTACTAGTACAAATCTCAACTACAATTGTCTTGAAGAATTGGAAATAGAAGATGGATGCCAAACAGGTCTGTTATCATTACTAGAGACAAAACTCTTGTCCCGACTTAAGATTAAAAATTTTAATGACATACAATGCTTGCCCAACATCAATCGTCTTCAAAGTTTGACTCTCTGGAATTGTCCAACCCTGTCGTCGTTCCGTGAAGATGGCCTACCCACTTCGTTGACTTCACTACAGATATACGGTTGTAGGAGATTAGAATTCCTACCTCATGAGATGTTGGCCAAATCAACATCGCTCGACTTTTTGCGTATACTGGATAGCTGTGATTCAATGAGGTCCTTCCCCTTGGGCATTTTTCCCAAATTGACGGCTCTTAATATTGGCAATTGTAAGAATCTGGAATCGCTTTGCTTGATTGAAGAAGAAGGAGCGGTTGAGAATCTAAGTCATCTCAATCAATTGGCTATCTTGGGGTGTCCAAATCTGGTGTGTTTTCCGCTGGGAGGATTGCCCACTCCCAACCTGACTCAATTGGAGCTCAACGGATGCGATGAGTTAAAGTCATTACCTGAACGCATTCACACCCTCACTGCCCTTCAATATTTGTATATAATTAATCTTCCAAATCTGGAGTCAATTGCAGAAGATGGGGGTTTGCCTCCCAACCTCCGATATTTTGTCATTTATAATTGTGAGAGACTGAGGGCTTCATCTTCATCAGTGGGAGACTACTGTAACTGGGGTTTGCAAGCACTTGTCTCCCTCGAACAATTTAGAATTCGTGGCAGGGGAAGTGATGAAATCTTGAAGACGTTGCTCAAGCAACAGCTGCTCCCTACCACTCTTCACAGTCTCCGCATCCAGGAACTTTCAACTCTGACATCTTTGGATGGAAAGGGACTTGCACACCTTACTTCTCTTCAAGAACTATATATTTCTGACTATCCGAGTCTCCAATTCCTGCCAGAAGAGGCACTTCAACACCTCACTTCTCTTCAAACTCTAGCTATTGATGGGTGTGACAGTATTCAATTCCTGCCAGAAGAGGGTCTGCCGCCATATCTTTCTTATCTAAGCATCTCCAATTGCTCTGCCCTGAAGAAAAGGTATGAGAATAAGACGGGACAAGATTGGGCCAAGATTTCTCACATTCCTTGCATCGAGATAGACGAAGAAGTGATCATATGATTTGAGCTCTCTCACATAGAGACAAACAAACTCTGGTCAGGTATGTACTTCAAATAACCGCTTTAACTGCTTTTCTTCTAATTCAATACAAAAACTCAAATTCACTATCCAAATAAACCGAAATACACATTTTAAACTATTTTTATGTCCACAAATTTGTCGAATGATGAAGTCATCAAATAACCCCTTTACATTTGCTCGCTCTCTGTTGTTCAGCACTTTTTTTATTATTTAATTCATATTCATGTTATAAATGTTCGGATGTTTAAAATTTTCTTAGTGAATTTCTCTGTTTTTAGATTTGTTCATGTTATAAATGTTAGGATGTTTAATCTGTGTTTAAATTGTCTTAGTGCTACTGTATTTAAATTTCGTTCATGTATTGTTAGGATGTTTAATCTCTGTTTTGAGGTTGTGTTAACTTGTCCCCTGTTGAATGCCAAATAAAGCACAATCCAGAGTTAAACCCTAGCGCCGCTCTCTCTGCTTTGGCGATTTTCCCATTCTCTTAGCCAGCGCCGACACCTCCTTGTGAGGGGGAGGAGGGGCTTTACCCTCCCCCCTCACCCCCTGTTGTGATTTGCTGGTCTATCGAGGTCTTCTCTCGCGCACTTGGTACCCCCATTTTGCTGGTCCCGATGCTCTCTCCTTGGAAGAGAGCCAGTGACGTCGTTCGAGCATACTCTGCTTGTATCGAAGGCTTTATGCCTCTTATCTGCTCAGATCCCTCACATCTCCACCGTTCCAACTTTCTCAGAGCTGTCCTTTGGCCGTCGTCACTTCCTTTGCTGGTTTCCCCTTGGTGTGTCGGTGTCTACGATTCCGGTGAAGATGCGATTTCTTGGGTTGTTGCTGGTCAAAACCCAGATCCCCCCACTTCCCTTTCGAACCGATTTCATCACCCGGTTACAACGGCCAACCCAAAACGCGATCTCTCGCGTCCCCTTTGGAAGGTGTGTAGAGCCACGACTTCGTGCCGACTCTGGTGCTTGCACCACCACCTTCCTGTTACTTGGTTACTATTCCTGTGCCTTTGGACTAATCTGAGAGTCGCTGGCTTTTGTGGTAGATCTGTGATGCGGATCTGTAGTTTATGTAATTTTTCTTGTTTCAGCTTGATGTTGCTACCACATGTTAGGTGTGGGTTTCGTTTTAATGCTGGCCTTATGGCCGTTTAATTTCCTTTCGGTCGGGATCATGATCTTCATGCTAGGCCTATGCTTGGGTTTTAGTTAGATCTGGTCCTGCTTGTGTTCTGTTGCCAGTGTTCCTTGCCCCTTTGTGGGTTTGCAATGAATTGCCTTTCTGACCAAAAAAAAAAAAAAAAAACTTGTCCCCTGTTTTGTAATGTTTTTTTTTTTTCCTTCTAATGGAAGTATGTGTCTTATCAAAAAGAAAAAGTTTTGATCCATACTTACTGCTTATTTTGAACTGAAAAAGCCAACTTTTGACATAGGTACAATGGCACAAAACTTGCATTCGTACTTCCGTCCCAATTGGAATGCCGTCTCATCTTCTGTATACTCTTGTAGTTCTGATCACAAAAATTGCTTGACAAATCGAAAGTCGCAATTAGATCTTACCAAGTACACACATACCAAACGGTTTTGTTCAACTGAAAAGATTGACGTAGGAAATTTATTCAAGTGGTATAAAAAAACTACATATGCCATCTTCTTTAATACAATTTTCGACAAGTGTTCATTCATCCCATTCTTCTTCAAAAACTACATATGCCAGCTTTATCTATATGATTGTGTAGATATGCATATAATATCTTATCTGCAAATGAATTTTTTTTTCCGTCCCACAAATCATTCCTTCAGCTACAAAGTTCTAATTGATGAGACTTGAAATGTTGGATGTGTACTTGCAGACTTGAGAAACTTTCCCATGTTTGGAGGTCAAAGCAACTTGTGTAGGCAACCATGCCCGAGGAGAGTTTACCATTGTATATGGATTTTTGTTTTTCTACAAACAAATTGCAGCAAAGAAGGGGAAGGAAATGTTCTCCAGGTGGAGCTCTAGCAAGAGACCAGCATATGGACAATGCGGTAAACGGATCTCAATCTAACATAACAAGCATCACTGTCCATTCTTGATTAGGTAATCTTTCATCATAAATTCCTTTCCCTACGTAATAACTTGAAAACGTCATTTATGAGTAAACGTCATTTATGAGTTTCCTTTGAGATGGATGAAAATGTGTACATATGTATGAATAACCTGTCAGAGCTCAAGTTCTAGGACAGACGACGTTGAGGAAACTCCATGCTTGGCTGCAAATATCACTGTTTAGGTCTTGAGCAATACTATGATTTTCCTCCGGTTAGGGAACCGCATAAGTGTTCCTTATGCAATGAATATTAATGCTTCACACTTCATTAATGATTTGTTTATTTAGAAGAAACATTTTTTTATTGAAAAAAGATAGTAAAATACCACAGAAGTGAACAAGTACTCGTCCACCACAGAACAGGAACAGAGCTGATCTTAAGAGAAATACAACTGTAAGAGCTTTAACAAAGAAATTATCCTTGAGCTGCCAATGCTCAAGGTGAAGATAGGAACCTCACCTTATTTGGAAGCTCTTCCATCCCCAACCCCTTATAATTGTTGAAAACCCTCCTATTCCTCCCCTTCTGATGTTAGCCAACTCACTCAAGCCTTCCTGAATAATACATACCACAAATTTGAGATACTGGGCAATAAACAAACAATTGGTCTGCACTCTCCCTGATTTATTTTCCTTCCCCATTGTTGTAATAGATAACATATGTTTACACCCAAAATAAACGGCCAATAAGAGCAAGACACGTGGAGGAAACTGGGCTTGGTCAGAGGCGCCCTCGGCACTCTACCTACCGATCTCTCCATTAGGGCAACGCC